GGCATCTTGCAGCCCACACATACCCCTGCCTCCACGCTAGATTGAGATTTCAGGCTTGGGAGGCGCCAAGAAGCTGAATAGAAACGAGAGATCCAGGAACTCAGAAATGTGGTCTCACCTGGGGTCTTTGGGTGAAGGGCAGATAGCAGGATGCTGACTGAACAGCTCTGTGCAGCCATGCGGTGGGGGCTGAGGGTAACACAGACTGCTGACAGCATGGCAGAGAGCCTCACGCCTACAAACAACGCTGCAGGAACACTGCCCTGGGAGCCCTTCCTAGGGAAGGCATCATGGCGCTGGGCCCCAAAGGTGCATGGACACTGTGACAAGCCATGGAACTGAAGGCACGGAGGGCAGGGACTGCTCCAGGATGTCTGGGGACAGCAGGGACCAGGAGAAAGGAACGTTGGGAGGTGGATTGTGCCAGGCCTTGAATGCCACGCCTAGGAGCCAGCACGTGGACAAGCAGCTGCTGAGGGCTGAGCTCCCAGAGGAAGCTTCCACCCTGGTGCAGCAGCCCCTGGCCCTGGCGTCATCTGGTTGTGTGTGCCCCCTCACCAGCCGTGCTCAGCTGAGCAGCCAGGCTGGCAGAGGCCTCCACCGTCATCTCCTCAGCCCTCACACTCTAGGGCACAGCGTCCACTTACCATAACTTAGTCACAGACTCTCCTGAGCCTCAGTTTTCTCGCCAGATAACACCGACTTTCTAAGATTCTTCTGAGAATTAAGTTGGAAGTGCTTATCAGGATGCCTGGATTTTATTGGTTTAATCTCTGTATATTGAGTGCCTTCCATGTGCCAGGTATTGTTTTAGGCTCTGGGGTTTCAGCCGTACATCTCAGGGGTTTCCGTTCTAGAAAGGGAGAAGGAATCTAAACCACAAATACGGAAAGGAGAGGATTCCACATTATGACAATGCTATGGTAATACAAGCAGGGTCATTAATAAGTTGACATAATGGCGTAACTGGAGGTAGAGGACAGAGGTATTGGATAAGGTGGTCAGCTGGGGACCTTGTCGCTGGGGGTGTCATGTGAGCTGAGATCTGAATAATGAGGAGTCCATCATAGAAAGAGGCAGAGGAAGGGTGTTCCAGAAACAGTCAGTGCAAAGGCCCTGAGGCAGGAAGGGCTTGCCCTGTGGGAAAAGTGGGGTGGCTAACGCAGTGGGAACAGGGAAGGCAGAGGCGTGGGTACCAGGGGTCTTCAAAGACCTTGGGAAGGAGTCCGGTTTTAATGGTTTTAATTCCAAGGACCATAGAAAACCATTGGAGGTTTTCAGCGGGCATGCTGGGAACTGATTTGCACAGTAATTGCTCAATAAAGGCTTGCTGTTGTCATTATGAATAATAATAATACGGAGCTCAGAGAGGAATAGCAATATGCCCAAGGTCACAGAGTCCCCATCCCACAGCCCCTTCCCCCTTTGATCGGCCTTCCCCCCTCCCCTATAAGGAGCCCCGTGGATCAGCCGCGAGCCTGGCGGGAAGGAGGCGAGGGCAGCCTCCCTTCCCTCATTCCCGCTCCTTCCCTCCGGCCATTTCCCGTGCTCTCGGCGCCTGCGTCCCAATTAGCCAGCGAGGCTGACGGCCTCGGCTCCGAATGACAGACACCTCCTGTCACCCCCTGACGGGCGAGGAGATTAACTCTGAGCAGCACCGGCTCCAGGGGACTGCAGGGAGAGGAGGGGGAGGGGATGACCATGCTTCTCCCCACCAAGGGCCCCCGGGGCGTCGGAAGGAAGGGGAACAGGAAGGGCCCCTGTTCTCCGAGAGGACCCCTAGCAGTCTGGGGAAGGCTGCCCCCACTCTCCTGATTGGCCACTCTAGCTGGGACCACTCCCCAGCTTCCGCCCTCTGAAGGCAGCCCTGGAGGCAGGGACTGTGCCATGCCTGGGGGTGCCGCACAGCTGAGCCCTCACTCAGCTCTAGGTACTGCACAGTAACATGAGCACAGAGTGGGGCGCCCAGGAAACGTGTGGGCTCCTGTGCTAAGCACTTTGTTCATGCAGACTCTTTCAGTCCTCACAACAACCCCATGTTAAAGAACAGGAAACTAAGGCACAGAAGCAGAGGTTCACAGATCATACAGACGGACTGGAATCCGAACTGAGGCTGCCTGATGCTAAAACCAGGGATCTAACCACTCCTCTCCCTAGGAGGAGACTCAGCTCATGGCGTTTAGGTATTTTCAATCCACTTTGGAGCAAAGAGAGGAAAGCCATGGAAAAGGGAATTAACAAAGCAGTTCTGGGCATAGACCCTGGGCACCACGCTGGGGGTCAGAAGCTCCAGGTAACACTCCCGAGTGAGTGGGGCCAGGAGGGATGGGGGACAGAACGGAAGTGAGCTGCCTAGAGAAGAGGTGAGTTGGACTTCTGAACACAAGTATCAACGGTCTGGAGAGGGCAAGAGGAGGGTGTTCCAGGCGGAGAACTGCATGGGCAAAGGCTTGGAGGCAAAAATGAGCAAGGCAGAACTCCAGGTTGCAAGTGAAAGAAACCCAACACACTGGCTTAAGCTGAAATGGAACATATTGGTTCATTCTGAGGCTCACAGGGAAGAGTGTTTGGCTTCAAGTACAGGATCAGTTTCCCTCTGCTGGTTTCCTCCATGGATAGCTCTCCCCCAGTGGTGGTGGCTACCACATCAGAGACCACCCAAAGCCCTGGATTCAACCTGATTGGCCAGGCCAGGTAACATGTCCATCTCTGAACTAATCTGATTGGCCAGACATTGATAGTATCCGCCTAGAGCCCTTAAGGTGGTGGGAGAAGGGGGAAGGGGAGGAGGTGTGTCAGCACCAAGGCTTCCCAGTTCCAGTGCTGGATTGTGAGCCCCGGATGATCGTTGGGCAGCCTAAGGACCCCTAATGTCCCCAAATCCAAGAGTTCCCACCCATGTAGATGAGGTCCATCAGATCAGCTCTGGCAACACAGAGGGGGCTCCAGAAAGGCCCCTGGCCCAGCACAGGAAGGCCTGGAGGTTTCCCTACCCTGGTTCGCTCCATAGACCTACCTGATCTCTCTGCCCACCCTTCACCCTTGGGCCAGTTAGAAGTTTCCCCTAGAGTTTGTCTCATTATCAGGGTCCTTAATTGGCTTTTACAAAGTCACCAGCTCTGACTGTCAGGAAGGCAATGGAGAAGACTGTGGCCCCGTGCCAGGAAGGACTTCCACAGGGAGAGTGTTCCACCCCGTAGCAGGGACGGGCATGGGCATGGCCGTCAGTGCAGGGAAGCAAGAGAACATCAGGCCAGCCCCAGGGAAGGGCGAATGCTGCCGCAGTACTCACGCCATGGGGAGGAGGAGGGAAGCACGCTTTGGGCAGTCATGCTCAGAGTTTGGAGAACGGACTTTGGAAGTCACATTGACAGAGATTTGATTCGGGGGTCAGCTGAGTGACCTTGGGCTTGCCCTGTTCAGCCGTGGTTTCCTCATCTGTAAAATGGGGATAGTACAAGGCCTCAAGGTATAGCGAAGTTCAAATGAGACACCACATCTACTACTGGCCCGGTGACTCTTCCATAAAGGGGTGGCTCTTACTGCTGTTCTAGCCCTGTCCAAGACTGGCCCTTAGCCTGTAGCTCCTCAAAGCTCTTTCCGGGCCTACCTCAGTTTCTCCATTTGCACTTCCAGCACTCTCTAGGGTGGGTGACTCCGATGATCTCACTGAGGGGAGGACCCCTCCCATATCAGTCAATCCGTGGGGGGTAGCGAAGGCAGCAGGCAATGCCCAACCAATGTTTTCACCAGGCTGGGCAGGCAGCGCCAGGCAGGCGGGAGCTGGTCAGGTTTTTAATTGAACGAGATGCAAATGAAATGTAAATACCATGCAAATAAGCTCCTGCCAGGAGGCGTTGAGCTAGGAGCTGAGGGAGCAGGGAGGGGACTCCTGAACAAGGGCCCTCCCCATCCCCTTTTTCTGCTCTCCTGTGGCTGCCCACGCCCACCCCCTGGTGCTGCCCACCCAGCCAGGCCGTTACATTCTGGGAACCGCGGGCACGGCATCTCCCCACAGCTCCTTTCCAGACCCACTTCCCGGCCCTGTGGCTCCTGGTGGTGACGGAGACAGGGTGCTCCAGGAGGAGCCAGGGATCCTGTGGATGAGGCTTGAATGACACAAACACTCAGAGTCAGTCACACAGAAAGACCCACCCAGAGCATCAAGGAGACACACAGACACACACATGCAGATACCCACATACCCTCTCAAGCCCCCTGCCACACCGAGAGCCACACAGACGGCCCAACACACACACACAGATGCCTGCCCATTCGGGCACAAATGCACACCGGGCGAAATCGACCTAGCCATAGGGGGCACGCACGCGTATACACACATGTGAACATGAGGCCTGCAGACTGAAGTCCCTGTGCGGGCCGGAGGTCAGGACTGGGGGGGAGGACAGCACCCTGTGTGGTCAGCGCTTGGTGGTCTGAACGAGGCCAGATGGGCGGCAGGGGTGCGGGGACCCTTCCGGGTGGCCTGGGCTCTTTGCCCACCCCGCCCCCTCCCAGGACACATCGCCATACCCCAGGACTCACAGGCACTCGACAATAACAGGTGTGTTGGTTCGTCCCCCAATTTCTGGGGTACTGGGTCCCCTAAATCTAGAATCCCCCTGTGGTTCCATAGCCCCCGGCCCCCCCGCCAGGCAGCCAGACATTTGAGGGAGGTGGGCCTAAGTGTGCTAAGCCAGGAGCCCATGCCCCACTCTGCAAAGTGGTAGGTAGGGTATGAAGCACGAGGGAGCCGAGGGAGGCTGAGAAGTTTGGTCAACCCTCCATTCCACCCAGCATCCACATCTGGGGGTGGTTCCAGCCCCCGCTCGCTCGGCGCTGACTCACGCCCCACATTTAACTCTCATTAGCGCCTCTGAGCCCAGCTGGGAGGGACGACCGCCAACTCCCCGCAGCAGACGGAGCCCTGGGTGGGCCGCCCTCGCAGCCTCAGTTTCCCCCCAGGGGCCTGGCCCGGCGACAGGGGCTGCGTGGGAGAGAGGCGGCTCCCAGTCCCCTCGTCTGGGCCGGGGCTGTCCTCCGCCCCAAGGAATTAGGGGCCGGGTGTGGCCTCTTCCGGGAACCCCCGCCCCGGCCTCCCACCGGATGCCCTGCAGCCTCAGATAATCCCCCACCCAGCCGGGGCCCAGGGGTCAGGGGGCGGCGCGCAGGGCGGCGGATCCGAGGCCGCCGATGGCGGGTGACCCGCCGCCCATCGGGCCGCGGCGCCTCCAACCGCGCAGCCCACTCGGCCCGACCCAGGGCGGGGGCGGGGGCCTGGGGGCAGGGGAAGCGGGGACGTGGCCGAGGATCCATGGCCGCTCCGGCCTCCCTCCTGCCCCTGCTGCACAGCCCGGCCCTGTTCTCATGCTCCCCGAAACCGCCCCGGCCGCAGCCCCTCCCGGAGCGGGGCGCCCTGGGCGGAGGCCGCGCCGCAGCCCCCGCCGCGCCCGGGAGGGGCCGGTCCGCAGGCTCCATCCGCCCCCCGCGCCCCCCTCCCGGCTCTGTGGGAAGCAGGCAGCTGGGGCGGGGGTGGCCGCGGGAGCGTCTTGCCCGTGTGATCGTGCCGAGCCGGGAATTCGGGGCCATGTGGGAAAGACATTAGTGCCGGCCGCCCTGCCAGCCAGGAATGCGCCCCCCGCTCCGCCGCCGCCGCCTGCCCGGCCCCGGAGCGGTGACTCACCCGCTCCGCGCTCCCACCCCCTCATCGTGCACCCTGCACGGCCCACCGCAGGCCGGGCCGCGGCTTCCCAGCGCCCTGCCTTCGCTCCGCCGGGCCCAGCTACCTGCCTGGCCCATCCTCCGGCCTCTACCGATCCCCTTTAATGCTGAACTGGATGGCACCCCCCTGGGGAGTCCCCAGAGGAGGCCCCTCCCCAGGCCGGTCTGGTCTCTGGTCTCCTGCTCGGGTTAGATCACTTCACTGGGACTAAACCCCTCCGGCCGCCTCTCTCCCTCCACAGTGACTCACCTCTGGGTCCCCACCCCCAGCACAGGGCCGGGAGCAGGGCAGGTGCAGGAAAGAGAAAGGAGGCCATGTACCCCGCGCTGTTTGGGAAGCTGTGGAGGGTAGGCTCCTCTGTGACCTTGGAATAACAAACAGTGCCACCTGCTTCACAGGATGGGTGACCTTGGGCCACTGATTCCCCTGGATGGAGCCTTGCTTTCCTCTTCTGATTCAGCGGGAATAAAGTGCCTGCCCCACGTGCTAACAGGGATGGCATAGGGAGAAACTTTTGTCTGTAACATCCTGGGCCCAAGCCGGGCGGGCCGCAAGGAGGTACTCAATCACAACAACGACGGCGATGATATTACTACCGTAGTGATCGCAACTATTTAATGAACACCTACTATGTGCCAAGCCAAAGGCGGGGTACTTTATAGACATGATCTCATAGAATCTCTGCCTCAGTCCTGTGAAGTACGTTATTTTCACTCTTTTACAAATGAGGAAACACTGAGGCTCGGTGAGGGGAAATCACTGACCCAGAGACCCACAAGTGGCAGAACCTCAGCCCACACCCAGGACTCTGGTCCCAGCACCCAGAGCTCTCCGGGCTCCACGCAGGAACACCCTCTGCAACTGAATCTTCTAAAGGTCCAACCGGGCCCTTGCAGGGCAGCTCCGTTGGTTCAGGGTAGCTGAGTTGGTTGGAGCATCATCGCTATGCACCAAGGTTGTGGGTTTGATTCCTGTTCAGGGCACATATAAGAGTCAACCAATGAATGCACAAATAGGTGGGACAACAAATCTCTCTCTCTCATTTCTCCTTCCCTCTCTCAGGCTCTAAATCAATAAATAAAATTTAAAAAGGACCAAACTGGGCTCTAGCAGGTGATCTCTTGCAGCCCCCACCTTCATTGGAACCACACTACCAGCCTCCCACTTCACCCCGGTCCCCCTCTCATAACTTCTAATAAGAGGTAATCGCACCAAGCAGTGGGCATCAGCTTCATTTTTAATTATCTAATTTACATTTAATTTTCCCCACCAATGTGATGCAGCTTATTAATGTTTTACCTAAGAGCATCCATTCATATGGGCTAAAAATATGTTTACAAAGTTAATGACCGATGCTTCTCTTTTGGGGGCCTCTGGTTCAGAGTGGGGGACCCCAGCTGGGGCCTCAGGCCCTGAGACCCAGCAGCCCACGTAACTCAGGACCCTGACATAACTAATAAATAAATGTCCCAGAACCCTTTCAGCTGGGGAGAGTGCCAGCCTCCATAAAGAATGATTATTGAGTGCTTGCTTGGCCAGACACTCTATGGGAGCATCTCCTTTAATTCTTGCACTAATCCTTATGGACAGGTACTATTAATACCTGTTCTGCAGATGGACAAACAGACCCAGGAAGATAAAGTGTCTGCCCAGGCTCACATAGTAAATGAAGGGAAGAACTGGCATTGCACACTTAGGGTGCGTGACTCCAGGCCACTCTATGCACTGCGGGGTTGCCCCCCCAACATCCCCCACCCCCGTTCAGAAAATGTATGCGCTGGCCCTGCAGACACCAGTTTTAAACCTTGAGACCTTGGATCAGTGGGGACGGGTGTGCCCTGCAGGTGTCAGGATGTAGAAGAACTGGGTGACAGGGCCAGTGGGGAGGAAGGGAACTCACTGACGTGGGCTTTACAGCATTTGACCCCCTAGGGATCCCTGCGATCTGGGTCTGGATTTCCAAGCCTCTCCGTGCCCAACGGCTGTGGTTTCCATGGCAGATTCCGTGGGCCCCAGGAGGGTCCTGGAAATAGCAGGGCACCCATCTTTCCTCCCCACATGGGTGCCCAGATGAGACTGAGCAGAGCAGATGAGCGAACATTCTGGTTTTCAAGAGAGAAGAGAGAGTAAGAAACCCAAAATGAAATCGAAGCTGAGCTGCTACAAAGAAGCCACAGGCCCAGGGCAAGAGGGCAGAGTGGACTCGGACCTCCACCTCCGCGTCTTATGAGCAGTGTGGACCCTCTGCTCAGCCTCTGCCAGGTCAGGGCAGGCTGCCTCCGCCTTGGTCAGGCCCAAGAGGGTGAGTGGTACAGACGGCGACTCCACAGCCCAGCCAGGCCTGGGGCAGATGGACAATGTGAGCCCTCACCTGCACCTCACCAAACCCTAGGTGGGCAAGTGGACCCTCACCTCAAGCCTCAGCCAGACCCCAGGGGGAGGCAGGGTAGAGTGCTCCCCAGTCCCAGGATCCTCTCAGTACCGGGAACTCCTCTGAGACTTGAGGGTGCTAATCCCTGCCCTACGGTGGAGGCTCAGACTTATTTTTCAACAAATTGGGGTCCCAGAAACTCAACTTGCCACTGCGAGACTAGAGGGCCACCCTGAAACCAAAGACCTGATTAGCCCCCCCTTAAGCCATCCTTACCTCTCTAGCCTTAGAGCTTATCTGGGAAAGGGGGCTGTGACCCAGCGCATCCTCCAGGGTGCTGCCAGGACTGCTGTGGTAGTACAGCGAGATGGGGTGGCCAGGGCTTGACCATCTACTCCATTCCTTGTAACTCCCTCATTACACAAGAAGGGAAACCAAGGCCCAGAGAGGACAAAGGACTACCCCAGGATCACAGAGCGAATTGGGGTCAGAGGTGGAAGTGGCACCCAGATCTGGATTTCACATAGGGGCTGGACTTGAGGCAACTCCATGGACCATAGTACTGTGTGGAATAAGCTACACCTCAGCATCTGGCTCAGACTGGTGTGTGTGTGTGTGTGTGTGTGTGTGTGTGCGCGCACTGCCAGTAGGGGGTGGTGGACAGGTGTCAGGGGAGCTGCCATTGCCGCCTCCCTGGTATTTTTAGCCTCGAGAATGAGCTGAGCTCAGGGTTCTGAGCAACCATTGGCAGTGTGGGAAATGGGAAGGTCCCCACCACCCCTTCCTACCACCATCAGCTGATTTGGGGGGAGTGGGAGGCCAGCCTGGAAAAGGGTAGCTACCTCAGGGACTGGGAGGGGCCAGGCCTTGAGACCCTGCACCCCAGCACACTCCATCCGGGTCATCTTTCCAGTATCCCCTTCACCAAGTCAAGCTGGCAGGATCTCACCCTCTGCTATCCTCGGCTTCCCCTGCTAGAAGCACCAGGCCAGTTCTCTCTTGTACCACAGGATCAGAACTGTGAGGTTCCCATGACAACAGCAGAGGCAACTGGCCACAGGGTCAGGGGTGAGGGGGGTGTGGGTGGCAAAGCAGGAGAAGGGAGGGGGCTCAGCACACAGGTGGCGAAGAGGCCTGAGTGAAGGACCCCAAAATTACAGCGTCCTCCTGAGGCCTGAACGCCAAGGAAAAGCCTCAAACTTTGGCTGACTGACGTGGAAGGGACTCCATTACAATGACGGGGAAAGCTAGGCATAACAAGGGCTGGCTATCCTTTGGTCATGTGATCACGAAGCCAGGGAGGGCATGGAGTTTGAATGGAAAGCCTAGACCCTTGCTTCCTGGCCCAGGACTCTGCAGCTTCTAGGCTAGGGAGCAGAAGGGTAAGAGGTGGGCCTGGATGTCCCTTATCCCCATCTCTAGGAAGTGAATGGGTCCAGAAGCCTTCAACCAGCCTGGCCTTTTTTAAAATATATTTTATTAATTTTTTTACAGAGAGAAGGAGAGAGGGATAGAGAGCTAGAAATGTCAATGAGAGAGAAACATCGACCAGCTGCCTCTTGCACACCCCCTACTGGGGATGTGCCCGCAACCAATGTACATACCCTTGACCGGAATCGAACCCGGGACCTTTCAGTACTCAGACCGACGCTCTACCACTGAGCCAAACCGGTTTCGGCCAGCCTGGCCTTTTTATAAATCGAATTCCCCATCCTATCTATAATGAAGGATCAAGGCCCTAAAACTGACAGGTCACTTCTTATCAAGCCTAGTCTCCACTTTCTAACACAGAATACGTTGTAGTTCCTCTGCACGGGGACACGGCAGGGATCCAGGCCTCCTTCCGGCTTCCCACTCCAGCCTCCAGGGCCAGAGTGGGGCTGGGAGCTTGTCCACACGCCCATGTTGACTGAAGGCGTTACTCCAGACTTGAGTCCCTCAAAAAGCTGCCCAGGTTCCAGAGCCATCATTGGTCCCCTCTGTCCCCAAGACAAAATATGGCACTTATCCTGGAGCTTGAGGTTGACGCCACAGTCCTCTGAGCTCCCTCCAGGATGGTCTTGCTGTCCCTGAAGTACCAGCCTCCAGGTCGCCTGGGTGAGCGTAGCTCCACCCACACCTGCTTCAAGAAGCCTTCTTAGCTCTTCCGATCCACCCAGATCCATTGCTCATCAAGGAGCACAAGGCTTAAGAGTTCACAAGGACCTTTCACATGGGACTTCCCATGCTGCCCTCAAAGCATCGCTGGGAAGTGATGTGACTTGCTGATGAGTAAAAACCAAGGGGCTGAGAAGGAAGCCTCTTGTAGAGCGCCACACCGCCTGTGAGGGTCAGCCGGGCTCCCAGCTGCAGGCCCTTTCCTCTCGCGGCCCCTTCTTGGCCGTGCCCAGCCTGCGGCACTGCATTTGGAATCCTCAAGTTCACACCCAGCAGTTTCTTTCTCCAGCTCCTTATACACAGAGGGCCAACCGACGTCCTCTGCCTCTAATTCACCCGTGTATTTCATGGTAAACACCTAACATACCAGGTGGACGGTCTCCTCCCCTTCGGAGCTCACCTTCTAGCTGGGAGGACCAGCACGTCAACAGGAGACTTGGTCCGGGGTGACCCGAGCAGAGCTCCTGAGCCGGGGGCCCCCAGGCAGGAGGTGCCCAGGAGAGGGTTCTCCAGTCAGACTGGCAGAGTCAAGGCCAACTCCAGCCACAGCTCACCCCCCCTCAGGCCCTGTTCTCCCAGGGAACTTTACTCCGTGTCCAACCTCAGTCCCGTTAGCTACACCCCCTCAGAGACT